TATAACATAGGATGTTAAAAAAAATCTCTAATTACCAATATTACTGTTGCGTTTATAATCATTTCTCAGAATATATTACTCATTTATAATATATTATTACACATAACTGCAATAATAATAGCAGTAATAATAAATTCATGCTACTAATTTATATTAATCTATAATAGTAAAGTCTCTACAAAGTCTCTATACAATAGTAGGAATTACAATAGTAAAAATAATAATAAATCTGTAAAATGTATCTCTGTTTATATAGAATGTCAAACAGCTGAGAGACAAAAATTTACTTCAACATAGAAAAATAGTTTATCAATATATAGATAAGATTGATTATTCATTTGGATATTCGTCCAGATATCCGATCCATCAATCTGAAAATTTCATCTAATTGCGAATTTCACGCTTAATTCGCCGCTTTGAGGCAAAATTTATCATAATAAAACCTGTTGCGATATATTGTATAATCTGGATATTTTTTTTCAATGGACGCATTGTTGCTTATGTACAAATGTAAACTAATTCTTAACATGCTATTATTATATAATAATCAATTGTAATGATTCAGAGAACAACTTTAAAGCAACTTGTTTCATATTAATACATATGTGTATGACCACAATTTTATAACTGAAACAATACCTCAGACATGATTGCATACGATCAGCATTACCTTATTAAGTACGTACAAGCACAAGCATTTTTCATGTGTATACTTTTTCTCCCATCTTTGTATTTCTCTATCTTATTTCAGCTTCTTATGTTAAAAAATACAAATCCGTAGCTTAAATTATCGGCGATGTTGGGAGCGTGGTTTAACAGAGGGAAAAATAGATACATGCCATTTAAAATAACACGGCAGTCCCAAGTAAGTTTAACCTCCCATTTTACAACAGATAATTTTAAGGTACTTAAAGTGCGAATAAAGATTTGTCTTGATCTTTGTTAATTTGGCGCTGAATGTTCTGATTACCGGTAGTCGAAGAATTCGAGGTGGCAGTCGTGGCTGTAGGGAGTGTTGGTAAAGCTTCAGCCGCGGCTGCACGTTCTGCTAAGAAGCGCTCAAATTCCGACGATGTTAAGGATTCTTGATCACCTTGCCCTCCAGGCTGTAATACAAATTATATTGTTTGACGACTGACGCTCTTGTAAATGAAAAGAGAATCTTTTAAATTTATACGATTATTATGATTTTGAACATTTGATTTGCTTGAAAACAAATATATGTACTATTTGTAAAATTGATTTGAAAGCCTAAACTACTAAAGTACTTACTGTGCGATCTAACCAGGCTGCCATTTCATTGAATTCAGATTCCAGATTTGGCTAAGTATAGAAAAACAAACACAAACATTGAACAAAACAACAAAGAAATACAAATCATATGTTATAACGTTGATGCAAACAAAATTCAATAACAACGTAATCAAAATTAACATATATTTTCATGCTTTTAAAAGAGATATGCAATCGTGATAACGAATACGTAACAAATGTAAGCAAGATTCCATAAGAAAAAGTTACTGTACCTCTTTTGTATCCTTCTAGTGTATATATGTACATATAAAATATCGAGAACATTGACAACACAAATTTACATAACATTAGCGCATGCAGTGTTTGAAATTGGCATAAAACCGAATCGTCAGAATTGAACGTTTATATTATTATGCAAGTTACAGTATTTTAAACAATTTTCGGTTGGCAGCAATCAGGCGTAAAAAATGTGTTTATTAGAAAAGAAGATTGATGAGTGTGACTAATTTTTTCTAATCGTTAGTTTAAGAAGGAGAGGATGTTACGCACACTAGCACTAGTAGTGGTCTGTTGAGGTAATTTAGGATTATTGCGGTTGAGAATTGCCGTACTTAAACTTCCTCCTCTCACCTGCTCCAAATTATCCTCGTACTTGCTGCCACTGTAATTGAAATATATTAAAGTATTATTGAATCAATTTAATCTAATACAAATATATATTGAAATAAATAAATATATATTGAAGGAAATTTGTAATGTGTGATGAGCTTTATAAAATAATTAAATATACAATGTAATGTTAATATTTTTTTTCTTATCATTTTTATCCATGTCATAAATAATTGCGAAAAAATAAGTGCGTTGCAAAAAAAATTGGAGTTTTGTGTATTACTATTTACCGTGTTATACAATTTTATTTTTAATTATAAAAGATTATTATTTTTTAAGAAAAAGCCTATATATATATAAGCTTTTTCTTAAAAAATAATAATCTTTTATAATTTTTTTTA